AAGGAAGGAAGGAAGGAAGGAAGGAAGGAAGGAAGGAAGGAAGGAAGACAGACAGACAGTGGATCTCCCAGCCCTGCCCGGGCCATTGTGGTTGCCCCCGACATGAGTAACATCAAGGTGGCCACACCCACCTTGGACACCCACACACCCACAGACACCCAAAGTCAAACACAACTCTGATGTGGCCCTCAATGAAATCAAGTTTGACACCCCTGTTCTAATACATGAATTGTCCGGATTGGGGCACGATTGATGAGAATTCGTTAAACCCTTCTGTGAGCCCAATAAAATTGACGTCCTCTCTCAGACAACTTCATGCCAGGGAAAGCACTTACTTGTCAAGAGGCTTCATATCCCACAGAAGTTGCCAAATGAAACGGCTATGGAACATGTATTCTAGAAGCCGAGGAAATGAATGAAGAGGACTACAACACCAGGAGGGAAGAAGAAGAAAACAGGGTCCAACTATTTAGCACCAGAAGTTCTATCTTCTTGTCCATTGCTTTAGAATTTTGGCTACATTGAGAAATCCTTGGTGCTCTTTGTCGTTTTCTTGCAGATGTTCCATTATCCAAACTAGGTAACATCATCAATGCATGTTGCCTAATTTAAATAGTGGAATGTCTACAAGAAAACAACCAAGCTCAGAGAGCATCAAGGACCCTGCATTTCAACCCTGGGTTACAAAGTTTTTCCTCTTTGGCTACCTTAATTCAAGGGTTCAGCAAGAACCAGCTCTAACTGGCTGTGACCTATCATCTCACTCTTCAAAAGTTCAAATAGCGATGAACCACCAGATAGAGAAAGTCTGAGATATGAATGCCATGATCTGTATGGTCTAACTTGTGTTCCCTTCCCTCGGCCTCCCATTTTCCTTGATTTGATGGAGCATACCAAAGTATCTAACAGCATCCTCTTCCTTCAAATGGCAAACTGGAGTCCTGTGAGATATCCACAGAAGTCCACAAAGGTGAAGGGATATGTCCTGGCACAATAGCCAGAAGAAAGATAGAAACCTCTGACGTAAAAACTTTTATTGTACGGTAATATGGGTGTTTTATATATTAATGGGGAGGAAAGGAAGGAAGGAAGGAAGGAAGGAAGGAAGGAAGGAAGGAAGGAAGGAAGGAAGGAAGGAAGGAAGGAAGGAAGGGAAAGAAAAACAAAAAGAAAAAGAAAAAGAAAGAGAGAAAGAGAAAGAAAGAGAAAGAAAGAAAAGAGAAGGAAAGAGAAAGAAAGAGGAGGAAAGAGAGGGAAAGAAAGAGAAAGGAAAAGTGAAAGAGAAAGAAAGAAAGAGAAAAAGAGAAAGAGGAAAGGAAGGAAGAAGAGAAAGAAAAAGAAAAAGAGAAAGAGAAAAAGAAAGAAGGAGAAAAAGAAAGAGACAAAGAGAGAGAGAAAGAAAAAGAGGAAGAAAGAGAGAGGGAAAGAAAGAGAAAGAAAGAGAGAAAGAGAAAGAAAGAGAAAGAAAGAAAGAAAGAAAGAAAGAAAGAAAGAAAGAAAGAAAGAAAGAAAGAAAGAAAAAGAAAAATCAGTAATATTGGCAGAAACTGAGATAATAAGATTATTTGTGGAGAGAAAGGATGTATTTATCCTTCATGCTAAGCCCAAACTTTAAAGTGATTGGGTTTGGCTTAGAATCTGCTTCCACAAATGTAGGGTGATTTGCAAGCCACTCTTCATAGCTGAGTTATGAAGAATTGTGTAAGATGTGAACCTCACAGGAAAAAGAGATTAAAGCAAAGAAATGGTATCTTGATCATTTCTTTACTTTCTTTAGTTTGGTCATTTTAGAAACTTTAAGAGCCATCTTTTCAGTATATCTAAAGACAGGTAGTCCTTGAGCTACAGCCACAATTTCTGTGGCTAAGCAAAACAATGGTTCAGTGAGCTTTGCCCCATTTTACGACCTTTTTTGCCACGGTTGTGAAGTGAATCACTCTGGTAGTTAAGTTAGTAAGATGGTTGTTAAGTGAATCTGGCTCCACCATGGGCTTTGCTTGTCAGAAGGTCGCAAAAGGGAATCACGTGACCCTGGGATACTGCAACCGTCATAAATATGAGTCATTTGCCAAGCAGCTGAATTTTGATCATGTGACCGAGGGGATGCTGCAATGATTGTAAGTGTGAAAAACAGTTATAAGTCACTTTTTCCCCATGCTGCTGTAACTTCAAACGGTCACTAAACAAACAATCATTAAGTTGAGGACTACTTGTACTCTTCAAACTTATTTCCCGTTTAAAGGAGGCCATTTTGAGTTCCTTCCCTGCTCTCCATGCACAGTTTAGATACTTCTGGATTACTGATTCTTCTCACAACTTTCTCCCACCCTATTAAATTAATCTGGATCAATTGATTTAAGAATTAGTACCATGGCGTTGACAGTTTCAGATTTTGCCATAAAATTTGAAACTGGCTGTATCTGGTTTTACAGTCCGTGTTTACCTATATGCATATGCATGGCTTAGATGCATATGTTAAATTTTGGTTTTGTGGAGGGAATGAAATATGGACCTGAAGGCTGGATTTTGCGAAACATTGCCTATAATGTTGTTGCCAACTGTTGAGAACAATGCACTAATTCACAGAATGTTTACCATCTTGAGGGGAAAAAAATTAAAAAACGACGTTTTAATTTTTCAAATTCCCCAAAGTCTAGGCCAAGAGTTAGTGATGCATTTTAATTACGACCAAGACAAATATCCTAAGTGTTCTATAAATTTCTTACTCACTACTCTTGGAAGGGAAGAAATTGTACTGGGGAAAAACTTCTTTCTAGGTGCAATGAACTGAAGCTAAACCAGGTCTTTGTTAAGATGGAAAACTGTCCGTTTCAATTATGCATCCTCTTAAACACTCATCTCGCGAGAAAGCTGAGATTCTCCCGTTTTAAGCCACAATAAAGGTGAAGGTTCCCCTCGCACACACGTGCTACTCGTTTCCGGGTTGATGGGGCAGTGCTCATCTCCGATACAAAGCCGAAGAGCCAGCGCTGTCCAAAGACGTCTCCGTGGTCATGTGGTCATGACTAAACACCGAGGTGCATGGAATGCTGTTACCTTCCCACCAAAGTGGTCCCTATTTTTCTACTTGCATTTTTACATGCTTTCAAACTGCTAGTTGGCAGAAGCTGGGACGAGGAATGGGAGCTCACTCCGTTATGCGGCGCTAGGGATTCTAACCGCTGAACTGCCAACCTTTTTGATTGACAACCTCAGCATCTTAGCCACTGAGCCACTGCATCCCTAAGCGATATATAATAGCAATAGCTACATTATATTATTATATTATATAGCTATTATATACCACTTTACAGTGCTCCTCTCTAAGCAGTTTACAGAGTCAGCCTATTATCTCCAATAATCTGGGTCCTCATTTTACCCACTTCAGAAGGATGGAAAGCTAAGTCAACCTTGAGCCTGGTGAGACCCGAACTGCCAAACTGCTGGCAGCTGGCAGTCGGCAGAAGTAGCCTGCAGAGTACTGCACTCTAACCACTGCACCACTGTAGCTCAAAATACTGGTATCCTGATTCCAACTTCACCCAAGCAATACCAGAAACATTATATTTTCCTTATGACACCAAGCAATATACTCCAGAGTTATTGCTTTGCTACTATACAAAATAAAATCAAGAGGAAAGATTAGGAATAGGATGTTCCAGAAAAGAGGTTTTGGGTAAGGGTAGGGAAGTGTATCACAGTGTATGTTATGCTTTATATATAGATAATCAGGGATACAATCCAATTCTCTGAGTTATGATCACAACAATATTTGAGGGGATGTCACAGAGAGGAAGGGGTCAAGTTATTTTCTAAAGCACGTGAAGGCCAGACAAGGAATAATGGATGGAAACTGAACAAGGAGAGATTTAACCTGGAAATAAGGAGAAACTTTCTGACAGTGAGAACAATCAACTAATGGAACAACTTGCCCTCGGAAGTTGTGGGAGCGCCATCACTTGAGACTTTCAAGAAGAGATTGGACTGCCATTTGTCAGAAATGGTGTAGGGTCTCCTGCTTGGGCAGGGGGTTGGACTAGATGACCTACAAGGACCCTTCCAACTCTGATTATCTGTTATCTGTTAACTGAGCTCAAAATTTCCGTTGCTAAGCAAAGAATTGTTAAGTGAGCTTTATCCCATTTTACAACCTTTCTTGCCATAGTTGTTAAGTGAATCACTGCAGATAAATCAGTAACACTGATTATTAAGAGAATCTGGCTTCCCACTGACTCTGCTTGTCAGAAGTTTGCAAAAAGGGACCACATGACCCCGGGATACTACAACCGTCATAAATACATGCCAGTTGCCAAGAGTCTGAATTTTGATCATGTCATCATGGGGATGCTACAATGGTCGTAGGTGTTAAAAATCATCATCATCTTTTAATCCCTTGCAGGGTGGAGTTCGGGCAATTGAATGGAGCTGAGTGATTACTGGCTGGATGCCCTTCCTGTCACCAATGCGGAGTTATATTCAGCAGATATGTTCTCAACCTCTACCTAAGATTGAACTCACAGCCTCCTGATTGTGAGGCGAGAACTCCACCTCTAGGTCTCGTGTTAAAAATGGTCATAGGTCACTTTTTTCAGTGTCGTTGTAACTTTATTACTAAACAATTGGTTGTAAGTCAAGGACTAAGTGTTACTGAAAGGATCAGACATCCAGTGATGCAACAGAAATATTAGCTGGACCAATAATCTGATCTGATATAAGGCAGCTTCTTCTGTTTATTGCTAATGAGTGATTTATCCAATCAGCAACTACAGTATCTAGAGAAGGCCCATAGCTTAATAGAATAGATAATTTACCAAAAGACAATCCCATTTCTACTGTATTTCCCTCCAAAAGATTCTTTGGGCTGCAAAAAAAAAAAAACCTCAGCTCAAAAGTTATGTTAAAATTATATCATTCAGAGTATATGATACAGAATGAGATTTTTGGTAATCTAGTGTTAGGGAATTATGATGAAGACAAATAGAGATTTATTTATTTTTTTGTCTTCCATTGGCTGTTTTGCTTTCCTTTCTTCGCTGATAGTAATTAGTGAATTGATCCCAGCTACTTCAAAAGTTGTCTGACCCAGAAGCGGAGAATTCTACCTGCTTGGCTTCTCTCATCTCAAACTGAGCTATACAATGGTTCCGTAAAAGTTCACATGGATCCAAGATAGATATCTATTGCAATTCCAAAGATGCTGGAATTTCCATTTTAGTTAGTTCAAGTGTTAAACCTTTAGGAACAGCTTGCTTAAAAAGTTCAGGGCAGAGGTAAAGTAGCTTGGCTGAAAAGATGGGAAGATGTGATGAAATCTAAAGTTTGTTAAGAGTACACAGATATTGCTCTAGAGCAGTAGTGTCAAATTTGATTTCATTGAGGGCCACATCAGGGTTGGGTTTGACCTTGGGGAGGCCGGGAGGGCAAGGCCAGGATGGGCATAGCCAGGGTGGACGTGGCCAGCTCAATGTCACTTGTTGAGGCTCCATTAACCAAACTAGTTTGGGTAATCCGGGTGGGTAATCCATGTTAAAAGCATTCTTTGAATGTGATGTAATTATCCATGCAAATTCAAATACATTTTTTTTTTGCATTGGCCTCACCTATTTGGAGGTCCATGATCCCTGCTGCATGTTTTTCAAAGCTTGTAAGCTTCAATGGTAACATCGAAGCAAAGTTGTGCATTTTAAGCATGTGTGACTTGGGTGGGAAAATCAAGCATTTCTAGTCATTTCTCCTGTCATTTCTTAGTTGACAGGACTTCAAAGTTCATCGTTTTGGGGGCCTAGCTAAATAAATACAGAAATTTCAGGAAAGTGAAGGCATTGCTTTGGTCTACTGCTCCCCCCCCCCCACCATCTATAATCACAATGCCTCTTGTTTTCATGTTGCAATGCTACAAGATCTTGCCGATATTATAATATGGTAATCTGATCCAAACCATTAGCAGTATATTAAAAGAAACGCAGCCATTTGAGTAGCCTAAAGGGCTGCCAACTGAGATAAATATTATGCTATACTTCAAGCAGTGGAATAAACTCTGCCTTGTCTGATACCATTGTTAGCCCAATATGCCTTCTGGGGGAAAATATATATTTCTTTTGAAATATTGAAACTAGATCCAGCTGGATATTTTTTTTTCCTGTGAGAAAAACTTTTTGAAGGCAGTGAGGTAGGTGGTGTGATATTTAAGCAGAATTTCCATAATGTTTATGCCCTCTTGTGTTATGAGAGGCTGGGATAAATTTGGAAAGCACAGCTTGAGTAGTATATTTAATGTTTCTCTTTAAAGGCGAAGAGGACACTGCCCACCCATCACGGAGGGAAAATGTGAGAGAGGACTCAGCTCCTTCGATCCAAGCACCAGAGTGACACACTCTTTTCATATATACTACAGGTGATCCCCGACTTACGACCACAATGGACCCCAAATTTTCTGTTGCTAAGTGAGGCATTTATTAAATGAGTCTTGGTCCCATTTTACGACCTTTTTTGCCCCTGTTGTTAAGTGGGTCTTGGTCCAGTTTTATGACCTTTTTTGCCCTGTTGTTAAGTGAAACTTGTTCAATTAGTAACGTGGTTGTTAAGTGAATCAGGCTTCCCTGTTGACTTTGCTTGTCAGAAGGTCTCAAAAGGGGATCACGTGACCCCGGGACATTGCAACTGTCATAAATATGAGTCAGTTGCCAAGCATTCGAATTTTGATCTCATGGCTGTGGGGATGCTGCAATAATCGTTAAGTGTGAAAAATGCTGATACGTCACTTCTTTCCGTGTCATTCTAATTTTGAATGGTCACTAAACGAACAGTTGTAATTTGAGGACTGTTTGTATTCAGTATTTGATGCTGCATCAAGACAATCCCTGCAGCTTTTTAAAGTCAAGATCTACCTTTAACTCTTCAAAGGTCTGTCAGGAAGCCAGCTTCTATGTGTACAGGATGGGATGATGCAGAAAAACTACACTCCCATTTTATTAAAATAAAATATAGTTAATCTGATTATTTCCCAATATTTCTAATTATCAGGAAGGGACATTCATGAGGAGGGGAAGAGTTCAAAAATCAAGGGAGTGGCTGTGACTACACAATCAGAGTTTCACCTTTTTTAATGCATGTGGTAATGTCCTGTTACTTGCTGATTGTAAGCTGCTCAGAGTTACCTTGAGGTAAGATGGGCAGCCTATACATTTTACAAATAAATAAATAAATATTAAAAATGTTAACTATAACTAAGATTTGGGAGTTTCTAAGGACTACCTCTAGACCTCCCAGGAGGGTTTATACAGGTTTAAGCATTTCTAGTTGAAGGGAGGTAGAAGATAACAAGGACTTCAGCCTGAATCTATCTAGAAATTTTGTCCACTACATCAAAACTGCAAAAGTGGCATAAAATGTCAAGCTGATATCTATCTTCATGTAGTCAGTTCCAGCTCAGAAAAAGTGGATCTGTTTGGTCAACTTTGATCCTTACATTTCCATCTTGTGGTGAGAATAGCACCATTGGAGTAGTTCCCTCTTAAATTCTCTTGCAATTTCTCTTGCAATTCACAGTGGTACCTTGGTACTCTTCTGTTTTGAAACTCATCAAATTTGGAACTCAGTGCATTTTGACACGAACATTTTGTCCCAGTACTCGTTGTTTGTTTGGTACTCAACACACAAGCTAGAACTTGTGAGTGTGTCAGCGGCCTTGCGACTCACTAAATTATTCCTTATGGGAAAATTTTGTTTGTTTGATATTCATCATTTTTGGTACTCCTTGCACTTCCCGGAACCATTTAACAATGAATATCGAGCAGAGGTGGCATTCAGCAGGTTCTGACCCGTTCTGGAGAACCGGTAGTGGAAATTTTGAGTGGTTCGGAGAACCAGCAAATCCCACCTCTGACTGGAGATTTTACAATATCCTTCCCCTGCCACGCCCACTGAACCGGTAGTAAAAAAAAAATTGAATCCCACCACTGATATCCAGGTACCACCATATGAAAAACTAGGAAATTTGCACTATGTTGGAAAGATGGTTGTGCCGTAAAAAGCACGACATTCACACAGTCCTTGTACACCTCATATCCCATCCATGAGAATTTCTCTTGTTTTTAGGAAACAAATTCTCTCTCATTAAAGTAAGGTGTGAAAAAGACGTAGAAGAATCGTATCATGTTCCAGAAGACTATATTATATTCAGTGATAAAACAATCAACAATATACCAAATCCATTTGATAGCAAAGTGAGGGAAAATATAAAAAAAAACCCTCTTGTGCCCATTAAGACCTAAGGAGAGAAAAAAAATAGATATCCTTTTTTCTAAGTTTTTAACTTGCAGGTAGAAAGAGAAACTATCCATCATTTTTGAAGGGTCTCATTCTGGAAGGTTGTTCTTTAAAGCAAACAAGATGAAATTGAAGACCAGAATATTGAAAGACTGGGTTTTTTTTTTTCATTTTTCTTGATTGGGGGAATGTCTTTCTTTCCTTGTGCTTCCCTCCTCCCCGGCCCTCCCTCGCTGCCTAA